ATAGTAAGCTGAAGCAGGCACGGTGACTTGTACGGGAATTAACAGTGAGAGTGAACTTGCGCAACATCCGCCGCACTCTCTCCCCCTCCCCCACAAGGGTCCGGTGTCAAGGTCGGGTCAAGAGGACCGGAGGCGGGAGGCATGGGCGCAGGTGGCTGGCAGGGTCGGATCTGCACCTAGGCACACCACTACACCCCGCAGTCCACAACGAAGATTTGACCAGAATTTTAAGTAAAAACGAAAATGTGCCAGGAAGAGGAGAGAATGACAGAAGTCAGTGGGCAACCATTCACACGGCCTGTATATCTAGCGGCAGCGCAAACACATCCGCCGGCAGAGAAGCAGGTGTCGGATAACTTCCAGCGCACACCAGGCTGTGAGGCCCATGGTTTGCTGAGTCATGGCATGGCAGACACACACAATCCAGAAAGCCCAGAAGGGTGAGGCACAGCCCTGCATTTAGCCTAGGCCATCACTATTTAAAGGCCGGACGACCGGTCATTCATCGACTGAGAGCCACTGCCCATATGCATGCACACTCCTCGCATGCGTGAGAGTGCCAGGGGTCACGTTAAGAAGGAGCTGTTGCAGCCTGACTCCCAGCCCACCAGTCCCCAACTCCACACAAAACACATGAGAACACTAGAGAGAAACTCCTGAATTCAGCCTGTTATAGTTGGTGAAGATAGTAATAAAGAGTATAGACGAAGTGCTTGTTTTTTGGCATTAACAGTCGGGCTTCATGAAAACATACGCATGAATATTGATTGGGCTGCTAGATGCTAAAAAATCGCGGGAACGTTTGTGATAAGAATTTTGTCTAGACAGCATGGACGACTAAGTTAGTGCTTGCTCCAAACAGAAAAATAAGACTGTTTCGCTGCTAAACAAGGAACGGCAGAAGAATTAGTTCACTTGCGACGGCATGGAAGCTGAGCTAGGGAGAGCAAGAATGAATGCTCAAGCAAACTTAATGTCAGTGGATTAGGCAAATAAACAAACAGGAATGTGCAGACTACCTAAGGAGAGGTTTTGCAAGTTTTGTCCCTCTGCTTAGCATCAGTTTCCAAAATGCTACTGAATAACGATCATGGCTCTGAATGAAGTAGTACATGCTGGGCGTATTTGAAATTCGTTCAAGTTTACAGCCAAAGTTACCTATTCCTCTGTATGTCGCCAATGCACGTTAAACACAATAGCATACAAAAAAATGAGGGATCATGGTCATTTCCTACCGGTAAATGCTATTATGGAAGAAATATAACAGCCTGGACCGGTAAGGAGACGCTGTCACTGAGCCAGACATATAGGTGGATGCAAAACTAAGCTGGAAACAGGGCAGGGCTTGTGGCAGTGTGACCGCACGATCGCCAGCGCGGCCGCTCACCCATGCACTGTCACTCCATCCAACATCCCGTCAGTTGACTGCTTGATACCATCATGGCCAGAGTCTGAGACCAATCGACGCTGCGTCCTTCGCTGATTGGCTCCAGGCAGACTGAGCCCAGGCAGACGCGCATGCTTTGTGCTTGGGCTAACAAGCTGAACGGCTGTCATGCGACTCAAGAGAACGCCTACTGCAACTGCCTGCTAAACTGCCTGGAGCTCTTTCACCGCAGTAAAGTTTGCCCAACCGACTCCGTCGGGTTGTCTACCTATCGCACCTCCACATGCCTACCTATAGTATCCGACTGCTAAAAAATCCCGATCGCGTTCTGTGTATTCATTCGACCCAGTTGTGAAAAACTCGGCGGCCGCTGGGGGATTAGAACTCCTGACTGCAAGTGTAAGGGGTTAGATCGCAGTTGGTAGCCAGGAATATGTAAGCGGGACGTAACCGAAATCATAACGTCCAACCCTAACCCAAACCCTAACCATAAACCTAAGCCTAATCTTAACCCTGACCGTAACCTTAAACCTAACCCTTACCTGAACCCCAACCCTAAACCTAACCCTAACCTTAACCGTAACCCTAATGGGAACCTTAACCGTAGCCTGTAAACATAGTCCTAACTCTAAAACTAATCGCAGCCGTAATACTGAAACCTAATCTTAAAATTTAACCTTAACCCGAAGCCTAACCCTGAAGTCCTAACCCTAACCCGAAAAAAGAAAAACCGTAAATGTGAACCCTAATCCTAGCCTCAACCCTAAAACGGAAGCCAAATGTTTTAACTCTAATCAAGAAAATCATAACCCTAACCCTAAAGCCGACCCCCAACCCTAAAGCCAAACCGTAATCGGAAACCATAACCCTAACACTGAAACCTGGCCCTAAAACGCAAACTCAAATCCTGAAACTTAACCTAACCCTAACCCTCACTAAAACCCAACAGCCTGACCGAAACGTTCGACCTGCCTAACTCAGTAGAAGCACACCTACCGATAACAAATAGACGCGTCGACAGTATCAACGTATAATGTCTGGCTACCAACTGAGATCTTACCGGGTAAGGCTTTAGTACAGCTGCTACACTCTAACTACCTGAGCCACGAGGACCCCTCAGAGCCGTGAGTTTAATCACAGGGGAACCAAGTTACTTGCAGAGCCTACTGCAACGTGTGGAGTCCACTATTTCTGACACAGTAGACTAACTACCCAAGCATGATTTCCTAAGCAATCAATCTAGAATCCATCAGATGCCTACTCACGGCTACTGGTGGGACATCGTAGCTGCAGTCGTTACTGGCCGAAGGATTTTGGCGATTGTATGTGACTAGGTGAAAAGTACCGATTCTAACTTTGTATTCTGCAGAATTTTACCCATTCCCTTTCTTTATAATTGTTTTTTTACCAAAGGAAGTAAGTACTTCAATATTTACGGTGGTTATTAGCTTTGTAAGAGATATCTGAAGAGTTACGCTGATCGATAGACCGGTCAGACGATAAAATCACGAGCTATTCTAGGCCAAACTGAATTGCCTCGCCAGTAGATCCCTTTGATTTCACCAACACCCGTACAGAGAAAAGGCAGAAAGTAAGGAACCTTTCGCCACTCACCAGCTACGCGCATTGTTAAGTTTAGTTAACATCGGTCTATACAAAAGTGAATAAAAGCGAAGCTGTAAAACGCATAGTAAAGGTGATGACCACGAGACGTTCTGTAATAATAAGAGATGTTCATAGATATTTTGGCAGTTTTTGAATAATTCATATTGACTCAACTGTGAAAAACTCAGCGCCACGGTGGAATTTGAACCCACGCAGTGAGGGAAGGCTTCAGTACAGCCAGTCATCTGGTGGATTCTAGGTGAATTACTTAGGAAATCCTGCTTGGGCAGTCAACTTATTGTATCAGATTTGGTTGATTCCAGGGCTTGCAGTAGGTTTGGCGGGTAACTTGACTCAAATGTGATTAAACTCGCGTCGTCCGGCGGGGCCTCGTAGCTCAAGTGTTTGGAGCGTTGGTTGTACTAAAGCCTTCTCCTTACTGCATGGGTTTGAATTCCACCGAGGCGCCGAGTTTTTCACAGTTGGGTCATTATGAATAAGAGATGTGACAAAGCAGTTACAGTATTGTCCCGGCCAGATCGAAGACTGGTGTGGAAACGGAGTCGGAGTACAATTGCAATTTCGAAAAAAACATGAGTAGCTAAGTGGTTGGAAAAGTGTACTCGACAGCAACTACGATAACTGCGAATGTCGGTGGTACTGAAAGGAGAGCACTCAGAGACAGTAAGGCAAAAACCACACATCCCAGCGAACCTGCTTAGAGTCTGTCTTACGCTTCAAAACGCCGGGGTGCAGTGGCGGGCCTCCGTCTGGAGTTAGAGTATCGCTAATCACCTTAAACATGATGCCAGTATCAGCGTGTGTTTGTCAGTGAGGTTGACTCGGTTCCCTATCTGGAGCAGTTACCTTGATCCGGTCAATACTGGCCACGTTCTCCTTGTCATCCTAAAGGATCTGGAAGATTTTGGTATTGTGAGAGACCATCCGGGACGCTTCTTCACGATGTAATTCTAGTTGCTTGCCCACACGGTCACAACGAAAGAAAACGTAAGTGCAGTCAGCGAAGGTCTTTTCCACATAAGATTCAGTAAACAGAGTTCGCTATGGGACCTGTGTTAGCGTGCAGGTAAACTGTCGAAGACGGTATGCGAAGCTGCAAGGGTCTTCGTCAGCACCGCGAGAGGTCTGGCTGATTTTCTGGAATGACTTTCGGAGGGTGGCGCCGAGAACCAGCTGTGTCTTGCTGCAGTCCAAATCGGACTCAGATGCTGCCCGAATGTGACGTCCGAGGGTGTTCGAATGGCCGAATGATGCCGAGTACAGCATGCGTCTGAACTCCGACCTCCTTTTTGGGATGGGAGCTGACGCCAGCCCTCGAACATAGGAGAACCTGACGTGGCCCCGCATTTAGTCTGGGTCGTCACCCCTCGAAGGTACGTAACCAAAGTGTCTCCATTCTAGGTCAAAAAGTCTGAATGCGTGTGATATGTCAGTATCAGCAAACCATGGATATCGCAGCCTGGTACGCGCTGGCAGTTCCCTGACACCTGGTTATCTGATTGCGAATGCGCTTGCGCTCCCATTGGGCATACAGGTGGTGGGCGTGGCTGCCCAGTCGTCATCCTCGTCCTTCTGATCCCTGTTGGGATGTTTCTGTTGTTATGAGTTCAAATCCTAGTCAAGTCTTTGCTGTGGACCAGGAGGTGTGGAGTGGAACGCCGGTGTGCGGGATCGACCGCGCCATCCACCTGTCTCACGCCTCCGGCCTTCTTGACTTTTTCTTGACACCGGGTCCAGGTTGGGAGTGAGGAGGAAAGAGTGCGGTAGATGCTGCGCAAGTCTACTAGCATTATAAACCAACTTACGCGAAAGTCACCGTGCCTGCTGCAACTCGCTGTGGAGCACACGGTGGATATCGTCGGAATCGACGGTCGAACTGTCGTCAGGATTTTGTGTAGTGTGGATGGGCACGGCAGATGCAACAGTGGCAGACGTAGGGGCGGTGGAGGAGGAGCATAGTAATGGCGAATCGGGAGGGCTATCAGCGTTAGCTGGCGGCGAGTGAAGCGAGGGAGATTTGGACAGAGAGGAGACAGTTGGTGAAGTCTGGAGGGATGAAGTTGGTCCGCAGGTGTCCAACAAGTCCACTTGGCGCCCCGAATGTCCGTTGACATCGTGGGCTTGTTGGACGCTGTTGGGCGTTGGCGTTGTAAGGCGGCGGCGGCAGTTGAGATTTGTGTGCCTCGCGTTTGGCTTTGGCGACGGTGATTCGGTTGGCTGCGAAGATTACTGCGCCTGTCTTCACTTTTCTCCACCACGTAGGTCGGTCCCGGGCGAGGTCTCCCCAGTTAGCCAGGCTGGCCTTCAGGCGCTTCAGGGAGGTTTTCAGAGTAACTTTGTAGCGCAGTACTTGACCTCCTTGTCGGCATGAGCCCATCGCGACATCTCCATAGAAGGGTCGTTTGGGCAGCCTCTCGTCGTCCAAGGTGGCCTCTCTAGCGTAGTTGTAATTGTTGCAACACAGCGTAGATTCGGAGGATTCTCGTCCGCCCCAATACTTCCGCGTCTGGGATCCGGTCATGCAGCTCTCCTTCAGTATTCTACGAAGACCACTGAGGTGGAAGTGGTTGTGTCTACGTGCCTGCTTCATGTGCACCGTCAAGGTCTCTGCTCCGTACAGCATCGTCGGCAGCATGACGGCCTCGTACATCTTCAGCTTCGTGCTGAGTTGAAAGCCATGACGATTCCAAACTGTGTTTTGAAGACGACAGAAGACTTGACTGACCTCGGAAATCCGGCGAGACACTTCACAGTCGATTTTGGTGCTGCGGGCGAGGGTGCTGTCCAGATACCTTAAGTTGTCCACCACTTGTAGTTGGGATCCGTCCACGCTGATTTGCAACGCATTGAGGACAGTGTTGGGTGGCGCTTGGTGTGTGACACCGTCTTCTCCGTGTTGATTACCAGGGCGAAGTTCTCGCAGGCTGCAGCGAAGAGATCCATGCTCCTTTGCATGTCTCCTTCCGTAGTTACATTGAGGGAGCAGTCTTCAGCGAACAGAACTTCGTGGACGGTCGTTGTGGAGACAAGCGATTAAAAGTGCATTGTTCAGTAGTTTAGCAGTTAACCTTCCGTTCTGTAGACGATGCCGATCCCCGGGCGATCGTCACGGTACGCGTCCACCAGCATGGCAGACAACTTGAGGCTGCAGAGGGACGGCGCTAGAACTCATCCCTGCTTCACTCCGTTGGTCACTGCGAATACCTCCGAGACAGCTCCATTATCCCTGACTCAGGCTATCACACCATCATGGATCTGACGCACCATCTGAGTGAATCGTTCAGGATAGCCGGATTCCTGTATGATTTTCCGCAGTCCCTCGCGATCGCCAACAACTACAGAAATTGTGATTGATGATGGGGGAGAGGGAGGAGCTTCAGATAATGGTGAGTCATATCCCTACCTAAACAGATATGTTGTTTGGGGCTGGAAAAGTGCTTAAACTGCAGCCTGTCATTAGGTTGATTAATTGGACTCGTAGGAAATTCACAAGAAAGTCAAATCAATTAGGAGGTAAGAGCCGAGGACTGCATTTCAAACATCGACATGGGGCGAAGATCCATAAGAACAAGTGACGGAGACCTATTGTAAGTGCGAGGGAAATACGGCAAAAAATAGGGGGTGCTGAAACAGTTAATGATTCGAAATTGAAGATCAGGGCTAGGGTAGCAGTGGTCCGCGAGAGTTGGACGACTGACCTCATCTGGGCCCCAGTGTTAACAAGAAAACCGTCTGCGAGTCGGACAGTCGAAGAAGAAGAAAGTGCGACCGGGGCCATTGAAGTCAGCGCAGTTGGTCGATTTTTGGTGGCTCGCTCCCACAATCGCCTGCACAACCGATCGCCCGTGCTGCCATCAGTCCGCCCAAATACCTCCTGTCAATCAATTGCTTGAGCTGCCTGAAACTTGGCAACAGCGTGGCGAGAGCTCGAAGCCAATCGACGCTGCGTCCTTCGCTAATTAGCGCAGTTGCACAAAGCCGAGGCGCACGCACGCACGCGCTTCGCGCCGCAGCGCTTGGGATTTGGAAATTTTCGATTGGTGGACCATCGTATCCCCACAGGCTCCATTCTCTGACCAACTTGTTTCCCTTGTGAGCTTTAAGGTGCGGGGAAAAGAACAGCGACAGGTCTCGGCACCAAAGCCCGTGCAGTAACAACATATTTTCACTGTTCGAAGACGCGAGTGAGAACAGCTGCGAGGATGCGGTACGCAAGCTAAAGTTTTAGGGAGGTAATTTCCCCCACTGTAGTCGTAGTCTGTATTGACATTTGATCGTCCACAGTAAGGCGCGACGGAGGACGACTGAAACTGCTGAACCTCCATAATCCTGTCATCTCAGTTGCTCGGGAGGCCAAAAATTGCTCAGAGCCAGAAGCAAATACTGCTGGTTTGCAATCACCAAGCCGCTCGCCTCGAGACTATCTTAAGCATGGAATCGGAGAAGTGCCGTTCCCAGCTTGGTGAATGGTTTATCGACTGGAGAATGCCGAAACTATGACTGCACCTGGGTCAGCACCTGTGGTAGCAGAGCCTGGGCAAGCCTGTGGCATTTTGCCATCTGTACTGTTCACCCAGTCTATCCTAGAGTCAATGCGAAGGAAATGCAGTATGGACGTGTTCTGCCCGGAGTCCGATAAAGAGGGCGACAACACGGCAGGGGCTGGTGAGTGAAAGTACAAACTAGGCAATGACCTATACGGTGCTGCAAAAAGCTTGCCTAGTTAGTTCAGTGGAGCACAAATGCGCAGACAGGCGGAAAACAGTCACTTTCGGCGTCATCACTTTAGCGAGTAAGGAGCAACCGACAGACAGACCTCACGTTAGGCCAAACATATCTGACGCACCAGAAGGGCCCTTGATTTCATCGATGCCCGTGAAGAGAAAAGACAGTAGGCAGGAGAGTTCTGCTATTGCTTAGTTGCACACATTCTTGTGCTGGTGAGGGGCTAACCTATCGCGATCTAAACGGAGTATGCTGTTAAAGTTAATACTGAAAAACAAAAGTTTTAAGGTACATGGCGAGAGGGATGGCCATGAAAAGTTGCGTAAGAATAGGGGAGATATTGCAGAGTGGTATAGACTCACTATTCAAATATTGTGGTCCCGAGGCAAGTCATTCTAAAGGTACTTACGGGCAAGTTTAACCATTTTTCGAATTTCCGATGGAAACTTTGGTCGGAATTGCTTATATGCTCCTCCCCGCCAAACACTAGGATAGGAACGTCCTGGTGAAATACAGGTTACCTTGCGTTTAATTTTGGGAAGAATAAATGTTCCCGTGTTCTAACCCCAAAATCAACCCTAACCGAAAGCCCAACCGCAACTCTAAACTTAACCCTAACCCTAACCTCTAGTTAACCCTTATTTCCTTGGTATTTAGCCCAAGGCCACCTCTGTTACGCCCTCCCCCCGGTTCCCATATCCTGCCAGGGCCATATAAGCAATCCCTACCGAAATTTCTCAATGAAAGAAGCTTGCATCCTGTTCTAGAAATCAGCGCAGTGCTGTGGCCCACAGGGAGGAAAAAACTCCCGTGTGGAAAATCTCGCGCCTAATCTTGAAGTGGCTCAGGTGATGTTAAATGGATGAACTACTTGAAGGGCAATTTAATTTGACCCCTTAGGACACCTGAATTATGGACCAACTGTCTCATTGTTTACATGGCTAATAGTGCACCATAGGTGAATGGGTGCCGAGATAACAAAAGCACGTTCGTCGGGCGTTGCTTCACTTCGACAATTGTCAATGGCCTCCACGGTGGGCTTCGATTCTGCTGCAGACGACAAAGGACAGTTTGCGAACCTGAAATTGTTGTTAGTAAGTACGGAAAAAAGCAAGCCAACCAAATTGTCTTTACGGACTATCTGCTGGAGGACTTCCGAAATTGTCCTCTTTTTTCACGTTTTGTTCTTTAAAAATCCAGATAAAATCTTTAGAAGATGCTTTGATAGCACTTAGGCAGTTTTCTCTCTAGGCTTTTGCCGAAAGTCGCTGGGTATTCAAAATTTACATAGGTAGACTTGTTCAATCAGAACATTAATTCCCCAAAGTGTGAAACGCCAATGCTTCTTTGTTTGAGTTGTGGATGTAACGCACGGAAGAACTTATAATATAATTCCGAATTTCGTTCAAGCCAATTGATAATCTAAAAAGGTGAATATAAGCCTGACAGTTCGGCTTGACAGTTCAGCAATGCCCTTATATGCAAAAATATGCACAATGCAATCCAGAATTTTATAAATACTAAAGGAGCATTTTCATTTCCATGCAAGTGGGGTTATTTAAGCAGATTGTTTAATGAATAAGTTGAGAACTTCCCATACCCGTTGATACCTCCAGTTTACTGAGAAAACAGGTAAACAGCTGCCTTCAAGTCTGTAAGAAATAATTATCAGCTCGTTCTTATTTACCAGCAACTGCCCACTTTGTAATTTGGTCGTGTATCTTTAAAGCCTATATAGATCTTGACTTCTTTCAAAATGGACCTTAAATAATGTTTTGGACTTATGAAGAAGAGAAAACAGTTGCCTTTTCCAATTCTGGCAATCACGCATTCTAATTCTTATGCAATAAATTAAAAATGTCCATAGTCTCCGGTCCAATGCAAACTACTTGACAACTGGGAAGCTGTTCTACCGAACCCACCTTATCGAGTTAACGAAAACAAACTTTGCGAAATATGTCACTTAATGGCGGAAGTTAACCCCAGATTACCTTCGGCCTGGCCTGCCTCCTGTAGTGAAAGCGTCCTCATGTCCTAAAGTTCTTTGCGTTAGGTGAGGGCACATATTTGATGCCGTCACAAGCTAACGTAACCAAAACGGTAAGGGGCACATTTGACGTCCAGCGGCTGTCAAAATTGCCATTTTAAAGCAATCTAAAAAACGGTAAGTTGATCATGGTTTAGTGAGGCCTGCTAAATGCGGTACTTGACGAAAACCTACCAGGTAGCCTCTAATGAAGTTACTATTAGAAAACCATTAACTTTTGTCAAATGTCCCCCAACTTTTATAATAAGGACATTTTCAATAACGCCACTATGGATCAGAGAAACTCCAACATCATGCAGCAAGAAACACCCAGCTTAACTGTCGGGATGACTAGTGTTATCCTTTATGCACTATTGAAAATAACTTATTTTTAATCTTTTTATTTAAGGAGGCTAATAGACTAGATTTTTGTTTTTGACGCTGTGATTTCATGCAGCATTACACTCGGTTGGCAGATGGCTAAGCTCCCTGCATTATGTTTTCCAGATTTCGCACAGCCGGATTTATTTGGTTACGCATGCAGTGTTTCTCCTTAAACACACATTTAAGCACAAGAGGTAAGCACAACTGTCTACTAATACCTGGAAAAACTTTAAAGATTTATGCATGAGTGTTCATTTAAAACTGCGATAAAATTAGATAGCAAATCAGCCAGATTTTGAAAGGAATTTTGAATCTAATATTTGGAAAAAACAGCTGCGCAGGAGCAAGTTTCCTTTCCAACATATATGACCGGTCAGCCATCAACGTGCTACTAAGTTCACATCATGTCTTCTCCATTCAAGACATTGTCATGTTGATAGTGCCCCTGACTGACACAGCTCTTCAAATCAGGAGACAGAGGACATTTGTGCGGAATCAGAGTAGGCGTGATAGCATAGCACTAGCGCACAGACCCAGTCACACGTCGGAGGCTGTGTGCTTCCACCGTTTCGTGCAGGCCTCGCTGTTTGGTCTCAGTCAGTAGCATGGTCTTCGCGCGCTGCTGACCACGCTCCTGCCAGAGTCATGTACCAGTCGGCTTCTCCTCTGACTCCATAATGGCAATTCCGTCATGCTTTATCGATGGTTCCTAATGTGGGAGCACATCCCGGTAGTCAGCTGGACTCAATGTTGGTCCCCATAATTCGTCTAGTTCCCGGTCCCGCGGCCATCTCTTCAGGACCGTGTGACGCGTGTACGGGGGTAGGATTAAAAGACATGGCGACTTTAAACGTCAAAAATAATAGAAATAGTCCCCTTTACTGTTAACCCTATTACAGTATTTAAAGACTCTGCGTTTTATGTATCGCCATCATTGTTCTGAAGGCGTAATTATCTGGATTCAGGTGAACTGGCAAGTTTCGCCTATTTGGACAGTTGTCTGGTTTCGAGTCATAGCGATAAATCACAACTTAATCCCCGGTTATTAACCATAGCTTGGGTATTGCTCATAAGAGAATAATTGGCAAGACCTCATTTCGTAGCCGTACTTTTTAGGGGTTAGGGGTTAAGGTTGGGTATTAAGGTTAGGGGTTGGGGTTAGGCCCTTTTGGTTAGAGGTTAGGGATTACGGTTCAGGCTGGGTCTTGTCTATTTCAGGTACGGCTACGAAATGGAATACGACGGAATAATTATTTAAGGCTACCATCCCAAGACTGTAGCAAACTTCACTTCATCTCTGATGTCAGACTTCTTGATAGGCAAATAGCGAAAGCTCTGCTCACCACAAAATTATGTAACAAGAAGATTCAAATGAGAGGTATCTGATGCGCACTTTCCGCTGCATCCGGAAATAAAGTTAATGGCCTTAATGCTTCATTGGTTTGTGGATGTTGAAGGTCTCTGAGCCTTTGTTGGCCTTCGATAGATCCGTAAGCACGGCGGAGTCACGCAGTCCGCCTTTTGGCTGCAGGATCCGCGAAGATGTGATGTTCATGTTTGTTGACAATACATTGACAGGGGGTTGTTTAATGTTTGGTTTCCAGTATTTATAAGACGAGGTGGCGAGCATACGCAGTTTTCGA